CAGCCGTGTCCCCAGGGTGGACTCCATCATGCTGCTCGAGGAGGGCTTCCAGGTGACCAGCGTGGACGCCAGCGACAAGATGCTCAAGTACGCGCTGAAGGAGCGCTGGGAGCGGCGCAAGGAGGAGCCCTTCGACCGATGGGGTGCGGGGGGTGTTAGGAGTGGGGGGGGGAGGGCCGTGGGGAGACCGACATCCCCCCCACACCCCGGCCTTGGAAGGGGGGGACACACGTCTACCCTGAGCCCCTCGTGTCCCCTTCCCAGCCCCTCGCTGGCCCTGCTGCAGGGACCTGGCAGCACCAGCTGCTGGGCAAGCCTGGGCTGTGGCCCCCACCTGCCTGCTGGGCCCCCCCCCCAGCTGGGATCCATCACCCGCAGGAGGCTGAGGAAGAGGTTGGGTGATGCTGGGGGGGAGGGGGGGGTCTTGCCTGCAGGGCAGGCTGTTGGGTGGGGTGTCCTTCGCCCTCATGCGCTCAACCTGTACCACAGTCATCGAGGAGGCCAACTGGCTGACGCTGGAGAAGGACCTGGAGAAGCCAGGGGACGGGTTTGACGCCGTCATCTGCCTGGGCAATTCCTTCGCGCACCTGCCTGACTTCAAAGGTGAGTTGGGGGTGGGGGGGAGGTGGGAAGGCAATCCTGCGTGTGTGTGTGTGTGTGTGTTTGTGTGCGCGTGCACGCATGTGACCTATGCACATGTGCACCAGGCCTCCCAGCAGGCTGAGAACGTGCCCTAACTCATGCCATAAGTGGGGTAGTGGGTTACGCACGGTGGCGTTGCACATGTGCACCAGGCCTCCCCGCAGGCTGAGAACGTGCCCTAACTCATGCCATAAGTGGGGTAGTGGGTTACGCACGGTGGCGTTGCCTGCCGCATTATGGCACGTCTCCAGGGAGGCTAAGAACGTGCCCCATTTCGTGGCATGAGTGGGGCCACTTGGTCTCGTGGTGGTGGTGGGTAGTGGGGCTGTGTGCATCCATCTCACATCTCTGGGAAGGCTGGAGACACACCCAGACCTGTGCCACGAGTGGGGTGGTGGGCTCCCCACATGGCACGCTTTGCCCCAGTGAGGCTGAGAACGTGCCTGAACTCATACCACGGGTGGGGCTGTGGGTTCTCTCCCAGCTGAGGTTGGGGTTGGGGGGGGAGGGTGGAGGATGGTGGGGGTAGCTTTGTGTGTGTGTGTGAGAGCGAGATGAGGCACAAGGTGCAGCCAGTGCCTGGGGACACCACACTTTGCTCCCCAGG